TGACTTTCTGTCCTGGGTGATGTAACATGAGAGCACATCACAAGCTTCCTCTCTATCTCTAGCAAACCACAGCAGGTCCCTCCCATACACCAGAACCAGTCAGAGTATACCTGTGACCTTCAGCTACCAGTATCTATGTATGAGGGCCTTCTTATGCCAGAACTGTGGAAAGCTTCACAACCTATGGCAGGCTGGAAGCTCCAGGAAATTAATACCACAGGGACCAATGATTCTCATAATTGGTACATAAATATCTCATCTCCCTCACCCTTGGGTGTGGTAATTCTGAGACAAGAGTTTTGCACCACTTCCCTGATTCTTCATCCCATGAGACTGAGCTTCAGTTGTTCAGCAATGTAAGTTCTAATGACTCCCATCCCTTCCTTGAATCACTTCTCCACTTCCATATTGGTGTTACCTGCATTTCCCAAATAAACTACTGGCAATCAAATCCTTGTTCTCTAAGAACCCAAACAAGACACTAGCTAATGATGTAGAAATGCTAATCAAGAAATTGAGTCTCTTGCAAAGTGGTATATTGCAGGGAAGTCCATTTTAAAACCTTCATCCTCTGCCTTCTTGGCTTCAGGGCTCAACTCATCATACATTCTGACCTTTGCTGCTGCCATCTCCGATGATTCTTCTCCTCTTTAGATCTTCACACAACTCAGTTTACTTCATCTTGAAAAAGGTTTCCACTTGCCTTGCCTTCTTACAATATGCATTTCTTTATATTTTGCCCCTTCCCTGCCAAATGTTCAAAGGAGCATCTAAGAAAATTGCTTCTATTTTATCTACTTTCACTTTCTGCTTAACCACTGACAATATAAGTAATATTGCCACTCTTTAGTAAACAGCTCTCAAGTTGCCGCTAACAACTTTCTTTTTACAAACTCTAGTGGTCCTTTTTCTGCTATCTTGTCACCCCTTACTGTTGAGCATATTGACTGGATTTCCTTCCTGAAAAATGTCTTCTAGAACTTTAGCATTGGAAAGGATATAAGTACAGTCCTTTCATTTTACATCTGGAGGAAACTGAGGCCTAGAGATGTTGAATGGCTTGCCTAACTAGACACAAAAACATCTGGGCTTTGAATCCAGATATTCTGACCTATCTAGTATGACAACTACTTTTGGTAAGTCCTGATGAAAAAACCTTCAGAATGTTCCTAATTTTTATTTCTCCCTCTATAATAGCCTCCTAGCTGGTCTCTCTACCTTCTTCCTTCCATAGCTCATTCCATTCTCCATTGCAGCAGTTAGAATGATATTTCTAAAATGTAAATCACAGACTATTATCTCTATTTACTCTCTGATTCCACTTTATTGTACTTAGAATAAAATTCAAATGCCTTTCCATGGCTTGCAAGACTCTCCATGGTCTACCTCTTATCTTTCTGTCTCATTTTCTCCTTTTCTTTAATTGATCATCACTGTGCTCCGTTACATGGACTCTTGCTCAGTCCTGTAAATCAGCAAGGCCAGTTTAGCCTTGCCATGAGGCATTGGCGTTTCTCTTCCCTGTCCCAGACCTTTGCACAAATACTTCTTTCTCATTATTTGATGTACTCCTCAGACAAGCTTACCTTGACATCACTACATCTAATGATCTAAACTACCCCGTAGGATTTCCAAGGCAGTAAATCTTAACAGAAGCAGACTGCCTCATCTTTCTCCTGTGTAGCCCCTGGTGGGTTGGAACAGCCAAACTTTTGGTTAGCAGCTGAATTCTTTAATCATTGTACCCCAGAACTCTGTCCTCTAGGGTCACTGTGAGTCAGAATTAATATGATGGCAGTGGGTTTAACAATCTGAACACCCCATTATCCATCAAATTATGCTGTTTTATTTTCTTTGTAGTATTTACCACTAAATCAAACCAAACCAAACTCACTGCTGTTGAGATGATTCCAACTCATAACAACCCCCATTGGGCTTCCAAGACTGTAAATTTTTATGGGAGTAAATCACCCCATCTTCCTTTTGTGGAGCAGCTGGTGGATCTGAACTGCTGACCAGAAGGTTAGCAGCCAAATGCCTTAACCACTATGCAATTTATTACTACTGATTTGATGGGGAGTTTGTCATGTTTCCCACCATTAGTATATAAGTTTATTGAATATGGGACTTTATTTAGTTTACAACTATATTCCCAGCACCTAGAAGAGTGGATGGACCATAGTGAATATTCAATAAATACTTGTTATATGCACAAATGAATGAATTATTCATGTTTCAATGTCTCTGTCTCTATTATAAGAATCCTTTCCCCCCTTTTTTTTACTTCCCAATTCTATTACTCATCTCTCAAGAATTTTTCTCCACTATCATCAAACTGATTTCCTTATAAACCAAAAGGATAGAGGTAATTCCTGCCTAGGAGCCTTTGTTTCAGTTTTCTCTTTAACCCTTGCCTCTCTATTCAAGTTGTATCACTCTGTCAAAACATGTCAGTTTCCATTTCCATGGAATCATATCTCACTGTTCTAGCCCTCATTTATCACCAGTTTTTCAAATTATGTAAAATGACTCTTGTGTTTTATGTAGTCCCAGTAATCATATGTAATCCATATCTAGATTTGTTCTCAGTTGTTTCACATAATATTTAGACTGTGTCCAGATACTTCAAATATATATGTGTTATACATTTATATATGCATATATGAATGTGTGTGTATGTGTGTATGTATGTATATGTGAGTTACTTGTGCTTATGTGTGTGTTGGCATTAGCCCCATTTGGGCATTTGAGACAAAGAAACCAAGACTCACTGAAGTTGTTTTCCCATGGTAGATCTGGAATAGGACTGTCAGATTCCAAACTCTGTGACCTTCTATTCACCACACAGTAGCTTTTCTTTATTTTTGTTTTTAATTAGCATAGAATCCTAATTATTACAGGGTTCCTCAATATATTTTGAAACAATTGAATGAAACTTGTTCAGAGAGCAATAAAAAGCATTCACACAGCAAAATATATGTACAAAAACAAACAAGCTCACTGCCATTGAGTCGGTTCTACCTCATAGCGACCCCCATAGGATTTCCAAGGCTGTAAATCTTTACAGAAGTAGATTGCCTCACCTTCCTCCTGCAAAGCAGCTGGTGGTGAGTTTGAACTGCTGGCCTTTTGCTAAGCAGTCAAATGCCTTACCAGCTACACCTGCAAAGCTCCTTATCAAGTGGATGTAGATGATGAATTTTCTTTACAAGTTTACTTTGCAGTCCTAGTATCTAGTGTTATTTATAGTGATCCCAAATAGAAATGAAAGAAAGACCTCTTTGTTGCAAAGTTTGATTAGTAACAATATCTACAAAGTTCATATTCCTTTCATAGACATGGAAGTCTGAGAAGCAGCCAAACCTTAAACAAAGAATCAAAGCTATACAATACCCTAATGGCCTGGATGTGTTTCCTGGTATGAGGATGTGTACTTTAAATCTGCCTGGCATTTATGTAAGATAAATGCACACCTGGTATGGTAGTTACACACCTGTACAGGTGTCACAGGAGAAGTTACATTCTGAGGTCTGCACAAAACAGATTAAATAGGTCAAGTTTCTAGGTTGGTGGTTTCTGCTGTTTTCACATTATATACTGTTCTCCCTAAATATCCATAAGTAATTGGTTCCAGCACTCCCATGGATACTAAAATCCACAGATGTTCAAGTCCCTTACATAAAATGGCTTAGTATTTGCATATAACCTACTCATATCCTCTCATACACTTTAAATCATCTCTAGATTATAATACATAAAACAATGTAAATGGTATGTAAATAGCACTTCATGTTCCCTCTTAGTCTTTGAGTGATTGTTTTGTCTACTTAATTGCTTTTTTTTCAATTTAAGTATTTGTGATCCAAGGTTGGTTGAATCTGGGGATGTAGAAGGCCAACTGAATATTAAGACATACATTTTTTAACATGCTTCATAATTTATTTTCAAAAGGGAGTTTAAATGAGTTTCTTTGGAACTTCTAAAGCACCTTGGCATATAGTTTGAAAACTTGTTGTTTTGTCTTTTGCTATTCTTTTCTAAGTAGGTAGTATAAGTGCCTTTAATGTAAGAATCATATCTTTTGTGCTTTTGTTTTTGCAAATGATCTTTTCTTAGGACTAAATATACAGAAATCTCTCATCATTGATAATCTAATTTAGCCCACGTGTTTGCACAGTGTTTAGAATTAAGTACTATGGTGGGGTGATGTCACATTACTTTGTGGCTATACAAAGTCTTGATATAGTAAAATGTGGGTGAGATATTTTTAAAAATATTCTATTTCCTTGACATTTGTTTCTCCTTAGAGCACATGAGCCAATCATGAGCCTTAAATTAGCACTTTGCAACTTCCAAAAACCTGCCAAAGACAAGGCTGAGCAAAGAGCTTCCAGCAGGGAGGAAGACAAGACAAAAACATTTTATGTCCATCCCCAGGCTATACTGAAAATCCTGCAGTGTTAGAAAAGAGACTAGGATCCTTAAGAGTTGTGTCATTATTGAGCTGAAGTAACTAATTGGTTTCAGCTTAGAATTCTGAAACTGCTGTTTCAATATTGTGCGATATTTTATTTTCCCTTACATTAATGAAATAGTTTATGACCAGAGACTTTAATGATGCTATTTTGAAGTGCTGAGCCATTCAGAAATCAGGGTGTCAGTATTGCTTTTTTTCCAGTTTAGGGCCAAATTCAGTTGTGTGTATAAAAGTGGATTAACCACATAACTCTACCTAAGGCTTCACTGGCTCTGTCACTTCTCCCACTGGGCAGAGAACATCTAAATTCAGAGTTGGTGACCTAGAGGCTTTGTCCTGTCAGGGTTCAATACAAATATCAACTGTTTACTAATACAAGCACCACTCAGAATTTGTTTAGCCAGGTCTTATGTCTGGCCCAGAAAGAATGCAGAAGCAGTAAGGGCATTCCAAACTTTCATCCTTGACTCCGGCTTATATTTCAGTGGGCATTATTGAAAGCAATCATTCTTTCTTGCTTCAGGAGAAACTGTCAGAGGAAGAGAGAAAACACAAAGAAGACTTGGAAGAGCACATGGTGGTAGATGAAGATTTGAGGAGCGAAAGTAGCAGTACCGATGAGGGAAAAGACAAGACCAAATTGCTGTTAGAACGACTGAAAGCTCTGGAGGTAAGAAATAAAACAATTTTTACACATTTAAAGAAAAATGAAAGTCCTCTGCTGCTTTTATTGGCACTGATTTGGAGTGAGTATAAATCTTCCTTTCTCAATTCATCCTGACTAATATGATCTTGAGTCTCCTCTCATGAGTCATTTATCAATGATGATCAAAAAGTTAAAATTGTAGCACTTGAAAGGGTCTCAAACTAATGACTATGATTACGTTGGCTTAAGAAGAGAGCATAGGGGCAGTAGTTCACTTTAAATTCAGTTTAGCCCTTGAACTGGATCAGTTCCTAAATTATAAGCTTCTTAGAGGAAGGAGCTAAGTATTTCACTGTGTTTTCACAATGCCTAGTATAAGGAATAAGGAGCGCTGGTGGTATAGTGGTTAAGGCATTTGGCGGCCAACCAGAAGGTTGGCATTGAAACCCACAGTCCACTCTATGGTAGAAAGATGGAGTATTCTGCTTCTGTAAAGAGCCTTAGAAACCCAATGGTGACTGTTTTCAATTGGAATCAACTAGATGACACTGAGTTTGGTTTTCAGAGTATAAGGAATGAATGAATGAAATAATCAATCATATATAAGGATGAAGGAGTTTTGTTGGTGTAATGGTTAAAGCATTTAGCTGCTAACCAGAAGATTAGTGGTTCAAACTCACCAGCTGCCTCATGGGAAAAAGATGAGGTAGTCTGCTTCCATAATGATGTACAGCCTTGGAAACCCTATAGTGCACTTCTACTCTGTCCTATAGGGTCTCTATGAATTGGAATTGACTCTAAGGCAACTTGTTTATTTATTTATTTATTAATAATTTTCTTTAATTTCTTTAATTTTGAACAAAAGTTCCACATGTGAAACATAAAAGCAAGCTGAAACTGAGCTGAAAGGTCACCTGAGGAAGTTTTGGGACCCTAATTAGTTGCCATTCATCAATTCTGACTCAGGGTGAGCACATGTGATAGAGTAGAACTGTGCTCTATAAGGTTTCAATGACTGTTTGTTTGTTTGTTTGTTTTTTTTTTCCCAGAACTGAATATCCAGGCCTTTCTTCTTAGGGAGCTATGGATGGATTGGAACATTTGACTTTTCAGTTAGCAGCCAAGCACATTACCAGTTTGCACCACCCAAGGACTCCTTTGGAACACCACAGTCCTTCAGAACACAGTTAGAAAACTGGTCTATTACTTTGTGGCATGTGACATCACTTGAGGGATTAATTACTAACTCTTTTTGGCAGGAATCAGACTATTCTAGTTAGTAGTTTTTGATTAAGATTTCACATGCTGAAAGACTCAGTGAAAATGTCTTTTTCTATGACTTGGCACAGATCCTTTCTGTAAATTCTCTTATTGTATAGAACTCTGGGACATAATTACTTTTGAGCAAGGGCTATGCTTAATCCAACTCATCTTTGCAAATCAGGAACCAAGAGTATTTACTCAACGACTAAAAATGTAGGCCTACCATAGTCTAAAGAATCCAAAAATATTTAGTAATGGGAAGAAATAGGACTGCTTCCTTTTCTGCAATTGGAAATCTGTACTTGGTTTCCACCTAGGTTTTGCAATCCTGCTCCCAGTCCACCACATTGTTTACAGTGATTGTGTCCTTTTTAATCTAATTTCATCCACACTAGCAAAGCAAAATGGCTAAAATCATGCATGGCCTTTGAAACCAGACTGCTGGGAGGGATTTGGTTTGATTCTAGTTATTCTATTTTCAAATTTTAAAATATTGGGCAAATTACTTAGGCTCTCTGTGCCTGTTTTCCTCATTTGCAAAATAGGGATAATAATCCATTGCATGGATATAATGAGGATTAAATTAGTTAACATTCTGGTGGTGTAGTGCCTAAGGCATTTGACTGCTAACCAGAAGGCTGGTAGTTCAAACCCAACGCCCACTCCTCGGAAGTAAGTTTGGGCATTCTACTTCCGTAGAGATACTGCCTTGGAAACCTAAGGTGGGGTCACTATGAGTCGAATCCTCGATGGCAGTGAGCTTTTTGTACAACATGCCTGGTCTCTTTCATACATCTGTTCCAGGGCTTCCACATTTCTTTAAGTTGTCTTTGTTTGTTTCCCCTATTTATCTGAATACAGTGGTTAACATAAGAACTACCAATGAGAGAACTCAGCTACTCCACACGAGAGTGATAGAAGGCAGGCAGGTCATCCAGTGCAGTCACACGTGGAGCAGAAGAGAGGTCAGCTAAGGAAACTTCTGGCGAATTATTCGGACAAATACCCAGGGGAATTACCCTGTCCCCTCAAGGGTCCTCATATCATATTTTTCTTTTTTAATATGGTCCTTGTAAATACCTCCTTCAGGAAGACTCAGGTTGCTTCTGGAGAGTTTTGAGAAACTCATGGCTGTGTCTTTTGGTTGAATTAAGTGGATTTCCAAAATCAATGGTAGGATTGAGTTGATCTTATAATTTCTTTCTTCCCTAGAACCAAGTACTTAAATTGTTAGTTGTTATTTAGGATTACATTGAAAGTTTTTCTTAGTTCGTCTAATTGTGACTAAGAAAACTTTGTTAAGGACATATTATTTAATCAAACTGAGAGGTGTTTAAAAAATAGCTTTGACAGTGAATGTTTTTAACACACTCACTGTGTGAAAGAGAAATTATTTTTATTTTTATTTTTTTCTTTTCCTTCCCTGCAGATCTTTTTACTTAAGGTAACAACCATTGCATCCAACATTAGTTAGATGTAAGAGATGATATCTCTTACATTAGGCCCCACAATTTTAACTCACAAAAATATTTTATATTCTAAATTAAATTTCTATAATCATAGTGTTACTGCTTGTTTTCTAAAATTCTTTGTTCAATATTAAGTGAATTCTATCCTTATCCTCAAGGAGCACTGGTGACATGGTGGTTAAGATATAAGGCTGCTAACCAAAAAGATAAGCAGTTGGAACCCACCAGCTGCTTCATGGGAGGAAGACAAGGCAGTCTATTTCCATAAAGATTTACAGCTTTGGTAACCTGATGGAGGTTACTATGAGTGAGAATCGACTCAATGGCAGTAGGTATCCTTATCCCCAGTGAGGCAGTTGTGGTTCAGTAGGAAAATTCTCATTTTTCACATAGGAAACAAGGTATAATTCCCAGCCAATGCATATGAAGCGTAGCCATCATCTGTCAGTGGAGACTTGCATATTGCTATGATGCTGAACGGGAGCCCTGGTGGTGTAGTGCCTAAGGCACTTGACTGCTAACCAGAAGGTTGCGGTTCAAACGTACCAGCCACTCCTCGGAAGGAAGGTTGTGCAATCTACTTCTGTAGTTATACTGCCTCGGAAACCCAAGGAGGGGTTGCTATGAGTCAGAGATGACAAAATGGCATATAACAACAACAACAACATGATGCTGAACAGGTTTTAGTGAAGCTTCCAGACCAAGAAAGGGCTGGTGATCTACTTCCAAAAATCAGCTGATGGAAACCCTATGGGTCACCATAGTCCAGTCTTCAACCAGTCATTGCGATGGCACAGAACCAGCCAGTGTTTTGTGTCATTGTGCATGGGGTTGACATGAGTCAGAGATGGACTCAACAACAGCTAACAAAAACACCAACAACAATACTTATCCCCAAATCTCCAAAGCTCACTATCCTCTACTTGAACAGATTTAAAAAAAAAAAAAACTTCTTTGTCTGTATGTTTCATCCAAATTTCATATTTAGTTTTTAAATTACTATATCCTCAATGTACAGGATAGATAGCATAGGTTGTAAATTGTTGTGGGAAAATAGAGACCTGACTTTGACACATTGCAAAAAGATTTGGTCACAGACCTCCACGCAAATTTAAAATGTTGCTTTAGAAAATTGCAAGGGAATTAACTATAATGATTCAAAATTTACTTGGGGTAAAATTGTACATTGTTCCACAAGTTTTGGAAAGGCAAAGAATATTTTCTATCAGTGTATTTTTGAAACAATCATTTTTGTGTACCCTAATCTCTTGGCCCCTGAGGTTTTAGGAAGCTGATGGGACTGATTTTCAAAGTGATGGGAAGCAGCCTTCCATAGTTCCAGTTCCCAGGAATTAAACATGTTCCAAGAAGATGTGAAAATTATATGCACAGTTATACACAGTTATGCCCTTGATTAATATGACCATAATATTAAAAAACACTGATGTACCCCTCACTATGAGGCTTACGTAAATATTATCCAAACACCTTAACCTACAGCTTGAGGGTAGTCTAGTGCACAACTCTCCCTACTACTACCACTACGAGAGTGTTCCTTCTTGTAGTCATTTCTGGGAGTGGATTCTTGCTTGCACTCAATGTAAATCCCTTCCTTCTCCTCTCAGCACCAACCTCATATGACTTTTCCAAAATCCAGCCCCATGAAGAATATGTCATGGTAAAACATTCTGGAGGCTAAGAGCTTCAACTTGATCTTTGGATAGCTCTAAGTTTCCTCTAAATCCTTTAGCCAGAGCTATTTCTCACTAGCCCCTTTCTCCTTAGTCCCCAGCTTCCTGCCATAGAATTTGGGCAGTTTCTTCCAGTTGACTTGTCTTCCACACCAAGTTCCCTTAATTTATTATTTATCATTTATGCAGAGCAATTTTCACTTCCCATGCTTGTTCTATCCCTTGCTCTATAGCTACCCTAATATAGGCTTACTATGCCAAGCACTGTTCTTACTTTACAATTATTAACTATTTTCTACAAAGAACATTTAACTTCCTATAAAGAATTCCAAGACCAGAACTTAAAGTGATAACACAGCATACATACACACACACAGACACGTGCACATTTTTTCTCCCCTTAAAAGTTATTTACTCACTGCCTTGCTTTCAGCCATTTTCAGTTATTCGTGGAGAAGAGTAAAAAGTCTTACTTCCCAGGAACAACTTCCTCAGGCCTAAATTCTGATTTTTGTTTAGTGTTCGACATCTGGTAGAGAAACCACTTCTGCATTGTACCACTAGGCCTTAGGAGTCACATGGGCAATCTGGATGCCACTTG